CCACAATCCAATATTATGGACATCAAAAGAAGGGATAAAGAAACCCAGATGGAGACTGAATGAAGATTTGTTGGATCAGCAAGAGATTGTAAATATTATAACTAAGGAAACCAAGTCATTCTTTCAAACAAACTTGACTAATGACATACAAATACAAACAGTCTGGGACGCTTATAAAGCAGTAATGAGAGGGCTATTGATATCATTGAACAGTAGAAAGAAGAAAAAAGAGATTGGAACAACAAACTATGATACTGGAAAGAATTAAAGTAAAGGAGAAAGAGTTGAAGAAAAGACCAGGAAAAAAGAAAATAATCAAAGAGATTCAAATTCTACAAGAGCAATTGAATACATTGATAAACCAGGAAATTTATTGGAACTTGAAGAAGTTACAACAGAAATCATTTGAAGGGGCAAATAAACCAGGAAAAATTTTGGCATGGCAACTGAAGAAAAGACGGGAAAATAAAATAATAAATAAAATAATAGACGAAGATAAAGAAATTGTGGACAATAAGGGAATTAAAAGAGCATTTTTTAAATATTATACAAACCTTTTCCGAAAGAAGTTGATAAGATAAAGATAAAATATGGAAATATTTGGATAAAGTTAAGTTGCCAAAAATTTCAGAGGATATGAAGGTAATGTTAAATAACCCAATTACCAAAGAAGAAATATTAAAGGCAATCCAAGAGGCGAAACTAGGGAAAGCTCCGGGACCAGATGGATTTACAGTAAAAATTTTATAAGAAACTTAAAGAGGAGCTAGTCCCGACTTTTGAACTCTTGTTAAAAGAAATAAGAATAACGGAAAAAGAAGCAACAATTTCACTCATTCCTAAGGAAGCGCAAGATTTGACAAATGTAAAAAATTACAGACCAATTTCTCTTTTGAACAATGATTACAAACTGTTTGTGAAAATTATATCGGAGAGACTTAAGATATATTTGAAAGATGTTATTGGAGAAGAACAAGCCGGTTTTTTGCCTAATAGGCAGATAAAGGATAATTTGAGAGTGGTGGTGGGTGCAATTGAGTATTATGATAAACATCCAGAAAAAGAGGTGGGTTTTTTCTTTGTAGATGCAGAAAAAGCCTTTGACAATTTAAATTGGGACTTTATGAATGGTATGATGGAAAAAAGTGACATTGGAGAATCATTTCGAAACATAATTGAGGCAATTTATTCAGAACAAAAGGCAGCGTTAGTAATTAATACAGAGATGACAGACCATTTTAAAGTTGAAAAGGGGATGAGGCAAGGATGTCCTTTGTCCCCGTTGTTATTCATATGGATACTGGAAGTACTACTGGGACAGATCAAGGATGACAAAGAAATTGAGGGCTTAACCAACAAAGGATTTTCATATAAATATAGAGCTTTTGCAGACGATGTCATGATTATGGTGGAAGATCCTATACAGAATTTACCATTGCTTATGGAGAAAATTAAGCAGTTTGGAGACTTAGCAGGTTTTTATGTGAATAAAAACAAGTCCAAGTTGATGTGTAAAAATATGACCAGTGGTAAGCAGGAGGAGCTGCAGAGGGTGATACAATGCGAAGTTGTTAAAAAGACTAAATATCTAGGTATTGATTTGACAATGAAGAACATAGACTTATTCAAAAATAACTATGACAAACTTTGGTCCCAAATTAGGCAGGACATGAAAAAATGGGAGACACTAAATTTGTCACTCTTGGGAAGAATATCGGTGGTTAAAATGAATATTTTGCCACGTGTGATGTTTTTCTTTCAGACAATCCCAATAGTGAGAGATGTAAAGATTTTAAACGCTTGGCAAAAATAAATTTCAAAGTTTGTATGGGCCGGGAAAAAACCAAGGATTAAGATGAAGATTTTATGTGATGCAAAAGAAAGAGGTGGATTTAAATTACCAAATTATATCATGATGCTGTTTGTTTAACCTGGTTGCAACAATGGATTATGTTAGACAACAGAAAACTGTTGGCATTAGAAGGACATGATTGTAAGTTTGGTTGGCATGCCTATTTGTGGTATGGGAAAACGAAAATGGATAGTTTTTTTAAGCACCATTATATCAGAAGAACATGGATTAAGTATAAAAGGTTTTTCTCTGAAGAGAGACCACTATGGATAGTTCCAGCAGAGGTGATAAAACCTTTTTCGATACACAGAGGAGAGGATTGGTTGCAATATAAAGACATCTTGCAGACTGCGGGAAAGACGTTTGAAATGAAAGCAGAAGAAGATTTAGACTTTAAGTATGGTTGGTTACAATAGAGACAGATTCAAGACTTGTTTAAAACAGATAAAAAAACTTTTGGGTTTAGGAATGAATATTATGACATTGAGAAACTATGGCTGGGCGGGGGCAAAAAGTTGATATCTAAAATGTATAAGATATTGTTACAATGGTATACATGTTGGAAATGTAAAAAGATAGAAGGTTCATTTTATCATATGTGGTGGACATGTGAGAGGGCAAAAATCTTTTGGAATGAAGTTCATGCTGAAATGGAGAAAATTGTGAAATGTAAGTTTAAGAAAGAACCAGAAATATTACTTTTAGGACTTAAAATGGAGGAAGTTAATATGACAAAAAGGACATTGATGTGGTACATGATTACAACTGCCAGAATGACTTATGTGCAATGCTGGAAGCAGGATAGAATTCCTGAAATAGAAGAATGGATAAAGAAATTGTTCTTTATGGTAGAAATGGATAAAATAACAAGGAAGCTTAATAATTTGGACGCGGAAGAGTTCTTTGAAGATTGGAAAGACTTTAAAGAATATTTAGAGAAATATTGGGATGTTAAGAACAATTTAATTTGCTTTGATAATTATTGAAGGTAGATGACAATAGAAAAAAGCGAAGGAGCATCCACCACCTCCCGAGGCAGACTGTTCCACTGCTCACCCACTCTTACAATTAGGACGTTTCTCCTGATATTCAGCCGGTAAGGACTCCCTTGTAATTTCCACCCATTAGATCTAGTCTTGCAATTGGGAGCAAGAGAGAATAGATCTGCTCCATCTTCTACATGACAGCCCTTCAAATACTTGAAGACTGCAATCATGTCCCCTCTAAGCCTTCTCTTTCCCAGGCTAAACATACCCAACTCTTTCAGCCTTTCCTCGCAAGACTTGGATTCCAACCCTCTCACCATCCTGGTTGCCCTCTTCTGGACACGCTCGAGCTTGTCAACACCTTTCCTAAAATGTGGTGCCCAAAACTGGTCCTGGATGCCTCCTTAACTCTGGAGGCCCAGGGCATGAATATTGCCAAACTGGCGGTTTTCCATCTTTGCCAAGCGGATTAGCCCCTTTCCTGTCGCGCCCTTGACCTAGCCACAGGAACCCCTGCGGCGGTCACCTCCAGACTAGACTACTGTAACTCCCTCTACGCTGGCCTTCCCTTGAGACTGATCCAGAAACTCCAGCTGATCCAGAATGTGGCGGCACGAGTCCTAACAGGAACATCACGGAGGGCACATATACAACCCATGCTGCCCCAGCTACACTGGCTTCCGGTGGAGTACCAAGTCAGGTTCAAGGTGCTGGGACCAGCGTATCTTCGGGACCATCTCCTCTGGTATGTCCCCGGGAGAGCATCACGCCCTACTGAGAGTAATCTGCTGGTCATCCCTGGCCCCAAAGACATCCGGCTGTCCTCGACCAGAGCCAGGGTCGAGAAGGTGGAACCAACCTGGAAGAACTCTCTGCCAGCTTCCATCAGGGCCCTGCGGGACTAAATGGAATTCCGCAGGGCCTGTAAGGACAGCGGCGGGTTTCCATCATAGCTGGCACCATACTCTTTACTTTGCTTTTTTTCATCTTGCCCGCTTCAGCCTCCTCTTCAACCTGCCCTTGAGATGGAAGAACAGGCCAGAGCAGGTTTTAGATTAAATTATAGGTCCCATTCAATGCGCCCTATAAGGCAGGGGTGGCCAAACTGGCTCAGCGTAAGAGCCACAAAAAAAATAAATAAACGTCAGATGTCTGAGAGCCACAAGACAGGAACAGATATGGCACACACGTTTTTGTTGAAAAATATGCAGATTAGCTTTTTTATTAACATTAAACAAGGCTGCCAAAAATAAAAGCAGAAGGGGTAAAGACAGATCTTCATAATGATATTTATTTGTCCAGTGATATGTATTTGTTTATTAATGATATTTATTTGTCAGAGAGAGAGAGAGAGAGGTGGAAAGAAAGAAGGAAAGAGGTGGAAAGAAAGAGAAAGAGAGAAACAAAGAGAGCAAATGGAAGAGAAGGGAGGGAAGGAAGGAAGGAAGGGGGGAGGGAGGGAGGGAGGGGAGGAAGGAAGGAAGGAGGGAAGGGAGGAGGGAGGGAGGAGGGAGGGAGGAAGGAAGGAAGGAAAAGCTTCCCCAGCCACCCTGCCAGGAGCTGCACAACATGTGTGAAAGAGCCACAAGTGGCTCCCAAGCCGCAGTTTGGCCACCCCTGCTCTAAGCTGTGGAGTCTTGTGAGCAAAAATTTGTGAGCTACTGGCTCTGGCAGTTGTGAGCCGGCGATTTGGCTGCTGCATGAATCAGTTTGCCCTGGAGCCCTCCTTCCTGAGCTAAGGCAAAAATGTGTGAGCTGGAGGCTAAAAAACTGAGCTGGCCCACACTAACTCAGCTTAGAGGGAACACTGGTGCCATCTGAAGACTGTGAAATTTTTTTGTGACTAATTGGTGTCAGATTTCAAATTGTATTTTGGATGTTAATTTATTGTAAATCGCCCAGACTCAGGGATGGGGCGATTCAGAAATTTAAATAACAACAACAGCAGCAACAACAGTATGTGCAAAAACATGCCATGTGCTTTGAGCTAGGCAATCGCAGCAGTCCAGGCGTGGGGGAGCCTGATTTCCCATGGCCGAGCCTCTGTCAGTACAGGGGAGGTGGCACCAGGGGGAGGGGACACCAGGGGGTCTCTCCAGCCAATGAGCCATCTGCGTGTGACCACGTGATCCTCCTCCAATCTCCTCCTCCTCCTCTTCCAGGCAACGTCCAGACTCGACTGCAGTCGTGGAGGCGGCACAACCACCCCTTCTCGCTGTCCTTCCTGGATGCCGTGCTGGCTTCCGTCGGGGTGGGCGAGATGCACAAGGCGATCGCCCTCTTCCTGGAGACGGTGGCCGGACAGCCCAACCCGGCCTACGTGCAGAGGTATGGCTTCTCTCCTCCAGCCCCCGACCGCCAAGGAAGAGAGCAACCTGGCGCAACCCCCATGCAAATGGATTATGAGCATCTGCTTTGGGTGTGGGGTGGGAAGCGTACTGGGAAGATGGGTCAGAGATGGGCAACACCGGTCGACGTGATAGGCCGAGGGCCTTCCGGTGTATGAGGCATCTTAAGTCTGGTCGTCAGGGGTATAATGGAGAAGGGAGCTGTGGTGGCTGAGTCGTAGGAGCGCGTGTTTTAGAACCCAAGTGCGCAGACAGAAAGGGAAAGACCTTGCCTTAGATCAGGGGTTCCCAATCTTTTTCAGCCTGCAGGCGTCCTTGGAATTCAGACACAAAATGGCGGCCACGGGAGGCGGAGCCAACCACAAAATGGCGGCCACGGGAGGTGGAGCCCACCACAAAATGCCGGCCATCATTTACCTTCATTCACACAAGTGAAGGCCCTTGTCCTGTGGTGATCAGTTTTCCACAATGTTTTTTTTTAAAAAAAAAACCCTTGCACAGCCAATCAGGAGCCTTGCTGGGCAAAAGCCAGGAAAGTGAGTGCCAGGAAAGACCGGCCGCAGGTGCCACGGCTGGCACAGGCTCCACGTTGGGGGCCACTGCTCGAACACGTGAGAGTTCACAGTGTGAAGGCAGGTGGGCCAGGGGTTGGTGCTTGCCCTAAGGTGGGTTTGTGTGCACTTGATGCAGCGCCACTTGTATTCATTTTATTTTTGAGATTTTTTATTCCGCACCTCCCCAGAACGGGCTCAGGGCGGATCACCAGAAACATGGGGAGTGTCCTCATGCTGTATGTGGGAGGTCCCAGATGTAACTCCTCCCATTTCCAGCTAAAGTATCTTGGGCGGGAGATGCTGGGGAGAGGACCAAGGAGTCCAGAGAGGTCTGTATTTTAGTGGGGCCGTGGCTCAGAGCCTCTGCTTGGCGTGCAGAAGGTCCCCGGTTCAATCCCCGGCAGCTCCCGTTAGAAAGCACCAGGCAGAAGGTGATGTGGAAGGCCTCCGCCTGAGACCCTGGAGAGGGGCTATATCTCAGTGGTAGAAGTTCCCCTTTGCATACAGAAGGTCCCCGGTTCAATCCCCGGCAGCTCCCGTTAGAAAGCACCAGGCAGAAGGTGATGTGGAAGGCCTCCGCCTGAGACCCTGGAGAGGGGCTATATCTCAGTGGTAGAAGTTCCCCTTTGCATACAGAAGGTCCCCGGTTCAATCCCCGGCAGCTCCCGTTAGAAAGCACCAGGCAGAAGGTGATGTGGAAGGCCTCCGCCTGAGACCCTGGAGAGGGGCTATATCTCAGTGGTAGAAGTTCCCCTTTGCATACAGAAGGTCCCCGGTTCAATCCCCGGCAGCTCCCGTTAGAAAGCACCAGGCAGAAGGTGATGTGGAAGGCCTCCGCCTGAGACCCTGGAGAGGGGCTATATCTCAGTGGTAGAAGTTCCCCTTTGCATACAGAAGGTCCCCGGTTCAATCCCCGGCAGCTCCCGTTAGAAAGCACCAGGCAGAAGGTGATGTGGAAGGCCTCCGCCTGAGACCCTGGAGAGGGGCTATATCTCAGTGGTAGAAGTTCCCCTTTGCATACAGAAGGTCCCCGGTTCAATCCCCGGCAGCTCCCGTTAGAAAGCACCAGGCAGAAGGTGATGTGGAAGGCCTCCGCCTGAGACCCTGGAGAGCCGCGGCCAGTCTGAGGAGACAATCCTGACCTCAATGGACCAGTTCAGTATAAGGCACTTCACGTCTTCATGAGAGCTGCTGCTGCTGCTCCGAGCCGATAGCAGGCAGGCTGCGTCGATAAGGCTCGGACTCAATACGTCCTCCTCCTCTGACGAGTCTTAATACGAGCCCCGTTCCCTCTTCTGTGTCCCTCCAGGAGCGTTTACCGGGAGATCCTCTTCCTCAAGCTGGCGGCGCTGGGCAGAGACCACGTCGACATTGGTAAGGGGAGGGGAACGGGGGCAGGGAATCTCCCACCCCCTGTAAGGGTGGGAGGGCTCAAACCGGCGCTGACTTTGCTTCCTTCCACCCTGGGGGTGCCCAAACACGGCGGCCGTTTGGGAGCAGAGCTGTCGGACTGAACAGCTTGTCTGTTTCCCTTTCTATCCAGAGCCGGTTTGGTGTCGTGGTTAAGTGCGCGGCCTCTAATCTGGGAGAATTGGGTTTGATTCCCCACTCCTCCACTTGCACCTGCTGGATGGCCTTGGGAAAGCCGTAGCTCTGATAAGAGCTGTCCTTGAAAAAGAGCAGTTTGTGTCAGAGCTCTCTCAGCCCCATCCGCCTCACAGGGTGTCTGTTGTGGGGAGGGGGAGGAGTTTGTAAGCCGCTCTGAGACACCTTCGGGTAGTGAAGGGCAGGGGACAAATCCAATCTCCTCCTCCTCTTCTTCTTCCTCCTCCTCCTCCTCCTCCCTGTGACATGGGCAGGAGAGTTGCGGGTGTGGGGGGAGCCAGCATGGTGTAGTAGTTAGGGTGTCGGCCTACAGTCTGGGAGATCCGGGTTGGAGTCCCCGTTCTGCCTTGGGCCAGCCACACACTCTCAGCCTCACCTACCTCGCAGGGTTGTTGTGAGGATAAAAGGGGGGGAAGGATAAAACAGGTTCTCCATGGATAAGCTTTTGGCCCGGATCCTCTTGTATCAGTGGCGGAGGGGGAACGTTGGGTCTTTTTGTACCGAGTGGCTGCCTGCAGTCAGCTGCCATGGCAGGATAGGTGGGCGGGTCTCGGGGATCGTGTGTGTATTGGGAGTTGGGTGGGTGTGGCTTCTGGCCCCGCCCTCTCCCCCAGCCCGTCACAATTCCTGCCGCATAGGACAAACCCAGGTAAGTCTCCCCATTGGGGAGGAAAGCTGGGCATAACCAAAGTAAATAAATAAGTAATATTCCTTTTCCAAGTGGGGAGAGAAGAAGAGGAGATTGGATTTATACCCCGCCCTTCACTGCCTGAAGGAGTCTCAGAGCGGCTTACAAACTCCTTTCCCTTCCCCTCCCCACAACAGACACCCTGTGAGGTGGGCGGGGCTGAGAGGGCTCTCTCGAGGACTACTTGTGAGAGAAAAGCGCCGAGAGAACTTGTAACTGACCCAAGGCCGCACCAGCAGCTGCATGTGGAGGAGTGGGGAATCAAACCCGGCTCTCCCAGATTAGAATGCGCGCCCCTAACCACCACACCAAACTGGCTCTGCTCAGGTTGCAGAACTTTCACTGGGCCGCCGCCTCTCACAGTTCTGGAGGTGGGACACACTTCTGAACACTGATGTTTGGACCGAACACTGCAAGCCATTCAGAGTTTTCCACGTCGCTGGGAGTAAGCTAGACTCCTGGGAATCAGTGTGAGAACAGGACAGTGCTCTGCTCTGGTCTGTCTTCTCACAGTGGGAGGAGGAGGGAGGACGCAGGGAATAGGGCGAGCCAGAGCTGTCTTGGCCACACCAAGAGTTTGAGCCTTACCTCCCGCCTGCCAGAGAATCGTGCCCTGACATTTACAAGCCACTACCCTAGTAGGCGGAGCTGCGGTGGCTCAAGTGGTTAAGACGCTGAACTGCAGGCTGTGGAAGGTCAATAGTTCAGCGGTTCAAGACCCGGGTGCGGCAAGACAGGGTGAGCTCCCATCTCTAGTTCCAGCTCCTGCCAACCTAGCAGTTCGAAAGCAAGAAATTGCAAGTAGACAAATAGGGACCACTTCGGTGGGAAGGTAACAGCGTTCCGTGCGCCTTGGTGTTTAGCCATGCCGGCCACATGACCACGGAAACGTCTTCGGACAGCGCTGGCTCTTCGGCGTTGAAACGGAGATGAGCACCGCAACCCTAGAGTCGGATTCGACTGGCTTTCGAGCAAGGGAACCTTTACCTTTTTTTACCCTAGTAGGCACTATCCACACTTTCATCTTCACAGCCCTGAGGTCTAAAAATGGGAGGGGGGGGGGTTCGGTGTAAAGCGAAAACCGAAATTCTCAAAACGCTTCAGTTTCAAATTCTGGGGCTTCCCCACCTTCCGCGTGGCACTGCAAAACCTGCCCTGGGGCCAAACTGGTGGCCTTACCAACACCTCCCTTTCTCTTGTTTGGTGCAGTGGTTAGGAGCGCAGATTCTAATCTGGGAGAACCAGGTTTGAGTCCCCACTCATCCACGTGCAGCTGCTGGTGTGACTTTGGGTCAGTCATGGCTCTCTCAGGGCTGTTTTCTCAAGAGCAGTCCTTGAAAGAGCTCTCTCAGCCCCACCTAACAGGGTGTCTGTTGTGGGGAGGGGAAGGGAATGGAGATTGTAAGCCGCTCCGAGACTCCCCTGGGTAGTGAAGGGCGGGGTATAAATCCAAGCTCCTCCTCCTCCTGCTTCTTCTCTGTCTTCCTTCTCTTTACTGAGTTTTGGCCACTGTGTGACACAGAATATTGGACTAGACGGGCCATTGGCCTGATCCAACATGGCTTCTCTTATGTTCTTAAGAGCCAAGGTCCATGAGTGGCTATTAGCCACCAGGTCTAGATAGAACACTCTGTCTGGGGCAAGTGATGCTCTGACTTCTTGGTGCTTGGGGGGGCAACAGTGGGAGGGCTCCTGGAGTTCTGGCACCGCTGGTGAGCCTCCTGATGGCCCCCTGGGTTTTGGCCACAGTGTGACACAGAATGTTGGACTAGACGGGCCATTGGCCTGATCCAACATGGCTTCTCTTATGTTCTTAAGAGCCAAGGTCCATGAGTGGCTATTAGCCACCAGGTCTAGATAGAACACTCTGTCTGGGGCAAGTGATGCTCTGACTTCTTGGTGCTTGGGGGGGCAACAGTGGGAGGGCTCCTGGAGTTCTGGCACCGCTGGTGAGCCTCCTGATGGCCCCCTGGGTTTTGGCCACAGTGTGACACAGAATGTTGGACTAGACGGGCCATTGGCCTGATCCAACATGGCTTCTCTTATGTTCTTAAGAGCCAAGGTCCATGAGTGGCTATTAGCCACCAGGTCTAGATAGAACACTCTGTCTGGGGCAAGTGATGCTCTGACTTCTTGGTGCTTGGGGGGGGGCAACAGTGGGAGGGTTTCTGGAGTTCTGGCCCCGCTGGTGAGCCTCCTGATGGCCCCCTGGGTTTTGGCCACAGTGTGACACAGAATGTTGGACTAGACGGGCCATTGGCCTGATCCAACATGGCGTCTCTCACGTTCTTATCTTCCACAGTGGACTTCGATAAGAAGTACAAGTCAGCCTACTCCAAGCTAGCCAGCAGCCTGGGCAAGGAGACCCTGAAACAGCAGCGGGCGCAGCCGCTCACCTCCAAAGCCATCGACTGCCGCAAGAGCTTCGGCGCCAACCTGGAGTGCTAGCAGGGGGACCGCCGTCTCTGCATGATGCCTGCCCGCCCCTGCCCGGCACGGTTCCTGCCGCATAGGAATAACCCCGGACAGAACTGGAAATCATACCAAATTGCGGGGGGGGAGGGACGGGGGACAAGAGCGCCAGCATCGCCCTCCCGTGACCGGTGCCATGTGGGGAGGCTGCTCTCCCGGGTGGGGATGTCCGGGGCCTCCGCCCCCCCTAGGGGGTAGGGAAACAGGGCCGAGCAGGTCCTCCTAGGGCCAGCGGTTCTGCATGGATCTGTTTGCCCCGACCCTGTTATATCAGTGGCAGAGGAGGGACGTCAGGCCTTTTGAGTACCAAGTGGTTGTCTGCGGCCAGCCGCCGCGGCAGGATGGGTGGGCGGGTCTCGGGGATCACGTGTACATCGGGGGTTGGGTGGGTGTGGCTTCTAGCCCCGCCCTTCCCGGCCCAGCACTGCACTCTGCACGTGCATGCCACGCCCGGACCCCGCCCCTTCCCGCACACCCCCGACCCAGGTCACTCCCTAGAGTCGTCTATTTTCGTGCAGTGTTATTCCCGGAAGGTGGTTGGCCGGCCATCTGTTTATAACATCGCCCCCCCCCCTCCGATCCGATCCCCCGTCCCCGATCACGGCCAAGTTAATTTGGGAGCGGGCAGCCCTCCCCGCTCCCCCACCGAAGTTGGTTTATTTTTTTACCAGTCAGTGTTCAACGGAAAGGAAAGGAAAGCTATTTTATAATTTATTTATTATCGAACCCTTCTTTTTTGTTTGTTTGTTTTTCGGCGTCTGTCCTCACCCTCGTTGCTTGTGCTGAAACCCGAAAGACGGCCAGCTCGATAAGTGGTAAATGGTGTGTGGGGGGGAAGCCACCGCCCTCTTCACTCAACT